AGATGCAGCCCCCTGAGGCCTTTGGACCAGCCCCAGGCCAATCCTGCCGCCGCCCCACTGCCGCCGCCCTGCCCACCATGATGATATTGATTATTGTTGTTATTAGTTGTTCTTGAGGTTTTCTTGGCAGAATCTCCACAAGGGTTTTGCCATGGCTTTTCTGGGGCTGAGAGAGTGTGCATGCATATTTTTTTAATTTTTTTAATTTTTAATTAATTAATTAATTAATTTAGCGTGCTTCGGCCCCCCAATTGTCTGAGGGACAGCAACCCAGCCCCCGGCTCAAAAAGGTTGCCTACCCCGGTATAGTGGTTTGGGTGTTGCACTTGAGCTCTGAAGTCTAGGGTTCAAATCCTTGCTCAGCTATGGAAACCCACTGGGTGATCTTGAGTAAGTCACTCCCTTTTGGCCTCCAAGGAAGGCAAAGGCAAAGCCCCTCTGAGCAAATCTTGCTGAGAAAACTCTCATGATAATAGTTAAAAGAAGTTGGAAAGCCCCCAGCAACAATGTAGATGTTAAGAAAAGTAGGTTTGCGTGACTCATTTTAAAATCTAGGGCATCTAATTTTGCATTGAATTCTATCTGTTAATATTGATAAAGAGTTGGTGCTTATTATTTGCAGTGTTCTTGAAACATTTTGGTTTAATCTGAGGCCTGAATAATAAAGGCTTACATGGGTACAAAACATACTGTAGAAATAATCCGGGTTGAAACTGCTTTAACTGGCCTGGCTCAGTGCTAAGGAATTCTGGGTATTGTAATTTATTGTGGCACCAGAGCTCTCTGACAGAGAAGACTAAATGTTTCACAAAACTACAGTTCCCAGAATTCCCTAACATTGAGCCAGTGCACTTAAAGAGGTCTCAACCCGGATTGTTTCTGCAGTCTGTTTGGGACCACAGTTGCAGAAACTAACTGGGTAGTGCTTCACCTTAAAGTTTTGTACAGTATACAACACAATCTTAGGCATGTTTACTTGAAAGTATGTCCTGCTTTGTTCAGTGGGATCTACTTTCCATGTAAGTTTACTGTGGGTTTCAGCCAAGTTTCACTTTCTATTTTGTTTAAACATGAAAACACATGGAAACTAGAAATTGTCTTAAGGCAAAATTATTATTGGCCATTTATAATCACATTACTAGCTGTATTGGTAGAAAGAGATGTTCCTACACTGCCTGTTGTGTAGACTTAAATTTTTTCTCTTTTGCTGAAAGTTGTAAATTGGTTTTTCTTGAAGCTATTTCCTTTGAGTAAGAACAACACTGAAAAGACCAAGAAGTGGTATTTCTTGAGGCAGATGGTTGGAAGTGGTGATTGCGTTAATCTCATGTAAGTGGATATGGATTCAACTGCTTGGTAATATTAATAATTTTCAAATCAGACTTCATGGGAGGTAAATAATATTACAGA